ACCAAGCCAGGATGCTGGAAGCTGCTCACCTACAACTGTGCTCACAAAGTCAGCCAGAGCTGGGGAGGGCTAAAGGCGTGTGTGTGTGTGTGTGTGTGTGTGTGTGTGTGCATATGTGTGTGTGTGTGTCTGAGAGATGCTACATTTGGAATAAGGTTCAGGGCAGGGAGAGTTATTAAAACTGATTCTAGAATGTTAGGTCAAATATACATATATATCTGCAGCAAATATGAGTTTCCCAGGTGGGTCAGTGGTAAAGAACTCACCTGCCAATGCAGAAGACTCAAGAGATGCAGGTTTGATCCCTGGGTCAGGAAGATCCCTTGGAGGAGGAAAGGGTAACCCACTCCAGTATTCTTGCCTGGAGAATCTCATGGACAGAGGAGTCTGGCAGGCTACAGTCCATGGGGTCGCCAAGAGTTGGACACAACTGAATGTGCACACACACACACACGCGCACACGCACACACAGAGGCAAATATATTTCAGACAAACACTTTTATTCTTTAACTAAAGAATGCCACCTCCATTAAATATTTACAGGCTATTGGTGAAAAAATAAAGAAATAGATAATTAAGTGGCCATTTATGATGTCAAACTCACTGCTAAGCACTCCACAGATATGCCATTTAATCGTCATAACAACCCAGCGAAGTAGGCACTAGTGTTATCCCATTTCATTGATGGGAAAACTGAGGCTTAGAGAAATGAAGCAACTTGCCAGAGGTGACCGAGCCAGGGAACAAGAGAGCCAAGTTTGACCCGACTGTGTGACTCTAAATCCATGTTCTTAATCGCAACCATCCCTGTCTGTGGGACTTCTCAGGCGAGAAGACTGGAGTAGGTTGCCATTTCCTTCTCCTGGGGATCTTCCAGACCCAGGGATCGCAAAGAGTCGGACACGACTTAGCGGCTAAATAACAACCACCACAAGCACCATCTGCCTCCCACTGCGGCTGGTTAAGGATCCGTTTCCCAATTCCAGGGGTGAAACAGGGGCAAGAGGTTTTCTTCCAAAAAGTGGGTCCAGCCTTGCCAGAGAGGAGCAAAACAAAAGCAAGTTTTACTGTTCCTCTCACCACCCCAACCTAACAGAGGACACAGCTGGTGCCTTGAGAGAGGAAGGGTTCAGTTCTTCTCACCTATACAAGCGGCGGATGGTGCCCCCTGGTTTTGGTAGCTGGGAAGGGCAGTGGGTGGGAACAAAGAAGAGCTTGGTGTTAGACGTTAATGGGGGCACAGATACAGAGCAATGTCCTGGGGCAGAGAGCCAGTTCCTCGGAGTCAGCCTGCCCCCAGGCAAAGGGCCAGGGCATATCTCCGTTCTTGGGGTCCATGGGGTGCCAGGTCAGCCAGGCGTTCATCAGAGGTGATGCATGCCAGTAACCCAAATAACATCACCAAACAGCAGCCACGCTCTTATCATTCAAACCTAGCGCCTGTACCCAAATTCAGACTCCAGCATGTACCATACTGGGATCATCTTGTTTACAATTTAGGGCCTAGGATTTGGACTAATGTAGAGGTCAGTCTGGCAACCAAGAGGGCTGATCTCACAACCAGGTGGTTTTTGCTTAGGGACAAGTTATCAGATGGGGGATTTCCTGGGGACCCCACCCACATTATAGTTGCTCAGTTGTGTCTGACTCTTTTGTGGCCCCATGAACTGTAGCCTGCCAGGCTCTTCTGTCCATGGAATTCTCCAGGCAAGAATACCGGAGTGGGTTGCCATTCCCTTCTCCACGGTATCTTTCCAACCCAGGGACTGAACCTAGGCCTCCTGCATTGCAGGCAGATTCTTTACTGCCTGAACCACCAGGAAAGCCCACCTACATAGCTCCCAAGGCCCAGTCTCAGGGGGAGTCAGCCCAGGGGCCACTTATAGGAAGTGCTCCATAGCTTGGGGAGCTCAGAAGAGGAGCCAGGGTTTCTGCTTGGTGACTTGGGGAACGTGTGACATCAGGTTTTGAAAACATGAGAGATACCTTGGGTATTTGACCCCCGTTTTGAACCTCTTGATTAGGAATCACAAAGTGTGTTGACTCTGGGAATAAATATAGAAAGGGAGTTGACAAACCGAGTCTGTGAAGGTCTGTCCATATCACTTGCAGTGTTTTCTCCTGGGGCTGTAAGAGGCCCCCTTCAAGGGGAGGGAGCTGGGGAGTCGATTGCCTGTGTTCTATTTCCAGCAGCTATCACTGACTCACCGTGTGACCTTGCTGAGGTCACGGCTATGTTTTCCTTGCTGGGGGAACATCAGAGGTGGCAAACTTAGCTTTTTCCCAAGGAATGAGAGTCCTGGAATATGGGGAGGGGCTCCCTGCACCCCACGAACCATAGTCATGTCTGTTCCTGGTGTTATTCATGAAAAATGGTTTTTGATTTAAATTCAAGGCACCTTGGGGGACACTCAAAGCAAGAAGCAAGGCGTTCCTGCCACAGCAAGACTTATGGCCATTTTTATATGCACTGTCTCTCCAGACACTTTCCAGCTCACGTTCCAAACCAATATTTTCCCACATGGCCTCCACATCAGCTGTGGAAGGGGAGAGGGAAGGTATTTTCTCTCTAGTTTCAAGAGGAGGCAGTCAAGGCCAAGAGAGTCATTTCTCAACATTCTCCTTACCAAGGACCCTTTTATTATCTTACCACTGCACATCCCCGTTTTGCAGGCCCTTGCTAAAGGCTCTGCATTTATTAGGTAGAAATCCATCTGTTTCCATTAATCAAAGTCACCAGTTTCTGTTCAGTGCAAAATAACTCGGGCTATCACTGACTTCATTGCCAAGAACTATGGCATTTGCTCTGGGTGACCTCCTCATAGATAAAGGCTCAATTTTCACCAGTTTTTGAAATTCTGCAGAGTTGATCTTCAGGGATCCCAGGTTGGGGAGTATTTCCCCAGAGAGATCGAGCAGCCTGGGTGGAAACTTCTATAGCCAGTAGTGGGGCCAGGACCAAGTCCAGGAGCTTGACACTCAGGCCAGGGCTCCAGACAAAGATCAATTGGCAGGGAAGGTTGATACACACTCAGATACCCAGGCACATGGGTGCATGCATGCAAAATGGCAGCCCAGTCAAATGCAGGTGCCCTGTAGCAGTGATGCTAGGGGCTCAAACCAGTAAGAAATAGGTTCCCCTCTATACTGGAGTGAGGAATCAGAGCTGAGCCTGAGGTTCGAGGAGTGAAGGGTGTAGCAGATGCTTCCAGAGTGCTCCTGGATAGTTGCAATGGGGGGACCTGTTTGTTCTGTCACTGGCCTTTGCTTTGACACTGTAATAATGCATCATTAATGCAGCCAGGGACCAGAGTGGGGGCTGAGTTCTTGCAGCTGGGAATGACAAAGACAAACTGGGGACCCCAAGAGAATGGGGACAGACAGGAAACGCAGGAGGTCTGGTGTGGAGGCTGGGGGTATAAACAGGACCCCAAGTGCCTCAAAGCTTCCCCCAGGGCTCTGTACCCCTCCTCTCCCAGGGCTCCTGCAAACACTCATTCTCTGTTGAGCCCTTGGCTCAGTTCCAGAGGCTCAGGGTTTTGATCCATCGGAAAGCATTGGGCCTCACATACCTTTGGAAAAAGGCCGAGGGCTTAGCTTTGCGGCTTCAGAATTCAAGCCTCCACCAATCTGCGTGGGGCCAGGGGCCAGGGGCCAGGGCAGGGTATTGGGGGCCTGCCGCCCAACAGCTGTTGCTAGGTTATTTTGGTCCAGTGGGAGCTTATCAATTCCAGGACATTTGGACCAAAATAGCCAAACGGCTGAACCATCTCTTGGTGGCTCTGTGGGGACTTCTCCTTAGAAAAGTTTCTAAAATGGGGCTAGAGAGGGAAGGGAGTTTGATTTGAGGGGTGGGTGAAGTGACGAGGGCTAAACTCACATACTACTTGCTGTCCTCCCTGACCACCTTCCTTGGGGACCAAAGCTGGGGTTTTGCTGGGGAGAGGGTAGAAATTAAGAGGGAAAAGGTCATCCTTAAACTCTTTCTCCGGACTCTGTCTTCCTCCCCACAAGCTGGAGTCATACATATTACCGTCTCTCGTTTGACAGACGGGTGCACAGGGTCCAGAGAGGAGGAAACACAGGTACTGGGGCCACACACACAAAAAAACTGGAAACCCGGGCCTCTGAGCCCAGGCCCGGCGGCCTCTCCGTGAGGCCTTGGTTAGACCAGCAGAAGATCCGCGCCCGGTGGCTGCCAGGTCCCCGACACACTCAGGCCAGCCTGGAAACTGCTGACTGGCCCTGGCTTTTCTTCGGGCCACAGCGGGGGCCCTGGCAGCGCCCGCCTCCGTTGACCCCGCCAGCCTCCGTGATAGGGGTTAAGTGCCGGCGGAGGAAACGAGGTAGGAAGGTCAGCCACCCTGAAGCTCCCTGGAGCCCCGCCCAATGCCGGCTCGGCAGACCCGGGCACGGCCCCCCGAGAGCCTGCCAGGATTGCACCGGGCGCAGAGCCAGAGGGACCCAGGTCGCGCTCCCGTTTGCAGCAGGGGTGGCGCGCGGGGAGCGCGCTTTGGCACCTGGCGGGCGCGTGGGTGGGGGTGGGGGCGCACGCCCCCGACACGCCCTCAGAAATCCACTGGGGTTGGGGGCGCTTGGGAACTGAACTTAGTCGTCGAGTGTCCCGCGCCAAGTCTGCGCGACAGGTCCTATCGCCCGGTGACAGAAAGAAGCTGCCCGGGCGGGGCCGCGTTTGGCGACGGCCACTCCGCTACCCTTACCGCTCCCGCCTCTCCTCCGGGATTTTCCAGCGGGTTAATTTCCTGTTCGGGTAAATCCTTCGCGAGTCCGTCGCCCCTCCCTCCCTGGTCCCCCGCTCCCCCACCTCCGCCCCGGTCTCTAGGGCTCCCCGGGTCGGTCCGCGCTGCGCTCGATCGCCCCCGCGCTCCCGGGCGCACGCCCTCCCCGCGCCCGGCCTCCGGGGTCCCGCGCGCCGCCCAGCGCCAGGGCTCAGCCCCAGAGTCGCGTCCGCGTCGCCGCCGTTCGCGCGGGTCCAGGCCATGCGCCCCCGCGCCGCCCCCCGCGCCCCCACCGGCGCCGCCGCCGCTGCGCTGGGGCTCTTTAGCTTCCTGCTGCTGCTCCGGCCCGGACACGCGTGCCCCGCGGGCTGCGCCTGCACCGACCCGCACACGGTGGACTGCCGCGACCGCGGACTGCCTAGCGTGCCGGATCCCTTCCCCCTGGACGTGCGCAAACTGCTGGTGGCTGGTAACCGCATCCAGCACATCCCCGAGGACTTCTTCATCTTCTACGGCGACCTGGTCTATCTGGACTTCAGGAACAACTCGCTGCGCTCGCTGGAGGAGGGTACGTTCAGCGGCTCGGCCAAGCTCGCCTTCCTCGACCTCAGCTACAACAACCTGACCCAGCTGGGCGCCGGCGCCTTCCGCTCGGCCGGGAGGCTGGTCAAGCTGAGCCTGGCCAACAACAACCTGGCGGGTGTGCACGAGGCCGCCTTCGAGACCCTGGAGTCGCTGCAGGTGCTGGAGCTCAACGACAACAACCTGCGCAGCCTCAACGTGGCCGCCCTGACCGCGCTCCCCGCGCTGCGCACCCTGCGCCTCGACGGGAACCCCTGGCTCTGCGACTGCGACTTCGCCCACCTCTTCTCCTGGATCCAGGAGAACGTGTCCAAGCTGCCCAAAGGTGAGTCTGCGCGGGGGAGTAGGGGGACGGAGGGACCGCGCAGGGAGAGGCTGCGACAGCCGGATAGCCTCGGGGCAGCCGTCTGGGGCAGAGCCCGGAAGGAGAGACCTGGTCGCTCATGGCCACTGCCCTGAATGAGAGTTACTCCAGGTGTAATCCTCGCACGTTCCCAGCCTGAACTTTTCGTGGGACTCTCCTCGGGAAGGAGAGTGGGGAGGGACACTTTTGGAATTCTTTGGAATTTCTGGGCCTTGTTGCTGTGCTTTTCCCTTTGTTTACCTCCAACAATGTTTGGAACCTGGGTTTCCCAGATCGTCTCATGGGGCTTTGGCTCCTAGCACCGGTGGATGCTCCTAGCACCTAGGGCTTCCTAGATGGCTCAGCGGTAAAGAATCAGAGTTTGATCTCTGGGTGGGAAAGATCCCCTGGAGAAGAAAATGGCAACCCACTCCAGTATTCTTTCCTGGGAAAGCCCATGGACAGAGGAGTCCGTGGGGTCGCAAAAGAGTTGGACAGGACCAAACAACAACAGTATCAATAATGAATGTGCCTTATTTCTGGGCCCTTCCTAAGTAGTAGACTCCCTACTGTGTGAGCAGCGACTCAGCACTCTTCTCAGTACCCTGAACATGGAAAGAGAGCATACCAGTTCTAAGAGCTCTCTAATAGCTAATGGAGCCTGAGCTGGCTTTGATTTCTCAGCTGCCAATTCGCTCTTCTGTCTAAAAGGGGTAAGGAATATTCCTGGTGAGGAATAACGGCAGCCTGCAAAGAGCCAGTGATGCAGTAAGGACTTGCAGTAGCTTTTCAGCCCCGATGTGAAATTGCTGAACAAAAATCCCCTGGGCTGGGACACCTTTTGCTTGCCTGATGCACTTTTTCTGTTGGTTACATAGACATACATGCCCACCTGGCAGACAGGAACATCAGGGCACAGTAGGTAAGGGGCCCTGTGAAGGCCAGGAGGAAGGAGGCAAAGGCAGAGCTGAGAAGAGGGGACCCCAGCATCCGTAAGGATGAGCCCTGAGCAGGTGGACTGTCCTTACCTTCAGTGGATTCCAGGCTTCCACTGGTGAGCCTGTGAGCGTGGTCCCAGCAGCGAGCCTTCAGAGCCAGACTCCACCTCCCCCCTTGCCCCTGGGGGCTTGGCAGAATAGGAAGCAGAGCTGTAAGACCCACAGTAAAAAAAGGTGACATTGATGTGGATTTATCTTTGAGAAATATATATATATATATTTCCATTTATTGAGAATTCAAGGATGCTGCTCATCTATGTCCTGAATTCCTGTGCTCACTTATTCATTCTGTACTGTCACGAAGCACACATCCCAGGCAATCATTTCTCTCCCGAGCTGACACTTTCAGCCCAGGCTGGCTCTCCCACACCAGCAAGTTCTAAAAAGACCTGATGTGCAAGGTGCAGAGTCCCCCAGCTTTACACTTTGCCTTCCTTCATTTGCTGTCTGGCTCCCCAGACCCTCCCCACCAGAAGACTATCCCGGAGACAAGAAGGTCCAGGTGCAGACCTCATTGTGGAATGGGGGTTCACCCTGGTTTTGATAGCTTCTGCCTTTGCTTCTCGGTGGTGTTGGCATCATGAACCCCCATTGTCAGTTGAGGGAGTATAATTGGTTCTCACTGTTATTCACATGAGGACTTGGTGTTATGGGTCAGGAGCCGTGAATTTCAGTCTCAGTTCTGCCATGGATGGCTGTGACCTTGACCAGGACATGTATCCTGTCTGGGTCTCAGTTTTTTCATTTCTAAAGTACTTTAATTGACCTCTGAGGTCTCTATAGAGCCCCAGATTTGGAAGGCTTAGATTGGAGTTCTGGATTAAAAACTGAGTGACTCTGGGCAGGTCACTTGAGTTCTTTGAGTCTCCTCTTTCTTCTGTTTGAAATTGGGACACTGGAATGCTGACCAATATGTCTGACTGGTGATTGTCAGTATCAGAGTCATTTAATGTGGGTAAATGAATGAGCAGTAAAAATAGAAAGGGCTTCCCAGGCGGCTCAGAGGTAAAGAATCTGCTTGCCAATGCAGGCTACATGGGAGAAGTGGGTTCGATCCCTGGGTTGGGAAGATCCCTTGGAGTAGGAAATGACAACCCACTCTAGTATTCTTGCCTGGAAAATTCCATGGACAGAGGAGCCTGGAGGGCTGAAGTCCATGGGGTTGCACAGAGTCAGACACGACGAGGCAACTGAACACCCATGAGCACGCAAAAATAGAAAACATTATTCTTCCTCTTGTCCATAATATAGGAAAGCAAAGAGCCACCAGATGGAGATGTGGAGGGTAAGGATGGACAGGTCCAGAGCAAGTCCAGGACAGGTCCAGACGCTGGTGGAGGGTTGGTCTTATTCAGGGAGGAAAGATGGAGGCAGCAGGAGGACAGCTTGGGGGCTCCCGGGGTCTCATGGGTTGAAGTACCGAGAACATCTGTGACCTCACTGCCCGTGGCCTGTGGCCAGAGCAGGGTCTTAAGCTCTGTGAACCAGAGCGGGGCAGGGGGTGGGGTGGGGTGGGTGAGTGGGGAGCACCTAGTCTAGGCCTTGAGGTGAGAGAGCTGGGTTCTGATGTAGACTCAGATTATGACACTAGGCAAGTCCCAGGCCTCTCTGTGCCTCAGTTTCCCTGCCCTAACTTCAGACTGAAGAACAGAATCCGATAGCAGGTTTGTGGCGAGGGTTGTATGAGGTCCTCTCTGTCAAGGGCACAGTGATTTTATCACGGAGTAGGTGATGGTCAGGCATTAATCACTCCTTTCCCTTCTCCTCATGCATTCCGGCCTCTCATATTTTCACAGAGGCATCTGGTGAGGGGCTGAGAGTGCAGACTCCAGCCCAGATCTGCTTGGTTCAGATGCTGCCTCTCCCTCTTACTAGTTGTGTGTGCTTCTGCCTTCCAGTTTCCTCTCCTCTAAAATAGGAATCATGCTAGTACCCACCTCACAGGGCTGTTGGGAGGATTAGAAGGGTAGCCTCTATAACAGGGTCCCCAGCCTCCGGGATCTAATGCCTGATGATCTGAGGTGGAACTGATGTTATAATAATAGAAATAAAGCTCACAGTAAATGTAAATGCGCTTGAATCGTCCCCAAACCATTCCATCCCCTGCCTCCTGGTCTGTGGAAAAATTGTCTTCCATGAAACCGGTCCCTGGTGTCAAAAAGGTTGGGAATCACAGATCTATAAGGTACTTAGAACAGTGCCTCACACACCGGAACTACCAGTAAGCAATAGTGCTGTTATTACCCTGTTTTGTCCAGAAGGCCTGGAGAGCTGATGGGAGTGACTTGCCCAAGGTCATACAGAGAGTTAAATACAGATGGAGGGGGAGGTGCATCAGGACCTCCTGGCTCCTTGCCTCCAAGCAGTTGACCATCCACTTCCTGCCAAGGAAACTGGGCACCTTGGGGCTTAGGCTCTAGGCCTTTCTAGGCAGGGCCCAAGGGGGGGAATTCAGAGGAAAGAGCAGAGACCTCCCCCCGCCCGGGCCCCACAACAAAGCCTTCTGTCATCTCCCCTGCCTCTTCCTCCCCAGAGAAGCAAATCAGGCTGAACCAGTGACCTTGACAAGCTCTGACAGCACAAAAGCATGATGCCTGCCAGGTGAGCGTCTGCGCTGATGGGAGCGCTTGGCCACTGGTGGAACACCGGCGGGGTCGGCTGGTCCCCGCCATGCAGACTCCTGCAGGGCTCTGCTTTCGGGGGCAGAGGGGTCTGGGGGAGCCGGCCTGCTGGGGCTGGATCTGAAGGAAGGCTCACCGGCCAACTTGGCAACAACAAGCAAGCAAACAAACCCCAAGCAAGAAAACAAACAAAATCCCAGGATGCTAATTCACTCTGAATTTCAGGTAAACAATGCATAACATTTTAGTATAAGTAAGTCCTGTGCAATGTTTGGGATATTCGCACACACAGAATTATTTGTTGTTTTTTGAAATTCATATCACTGGCCATCCTGTGTTTTATCCAGTGGCTTCCCTGGTAACTCAGCTGGTAAAAAATCCACCTGCAATGAGGGAGACCTGGGTTCGATCCCCAAGTTTGGAAGATCCCCTGGAGAAGGGAAAGGCTACCCACTCCAGTTTTCTGGCCTGGAGAATTACATGGGCTGTATAGTCTGTGGGGTGGGAAAGAGACAGACACAACTGAGCAACTTTCACTTTCACTACCTTCTGGTGGCAGTTTGTGGTTTACCAGGGCCGTCTTTTAAAAAAAAAAAATACCCGTGCCTGACAAGTTACCTTTACCCATAGCTAGCCACTGGGTGTGAGGTGCAAAGAAAAGAAGTGGTTTGCACAAGTTCATGTTGTTAGTGGCTGAGATTAGCATGCACTCAGGAGTGTCTGACTCCACTCCTAATTCTTTGTGATGGCCTAGAACAGGAGGGCGAGAATAGCCCCTGCTCTGTTCTACCATCCCTGACTCCCCTGGGGGACAGCTGGCTGCCCTTCCAGCCCCAGATTCCACTCCTGGTCTGGTGGTTCTCCCAGGAGCCAGGTTCTGGGCCAGGTAGGACACTGTGCCCTCAAGGGAACAGTGACCATCGTTCTTCAAGTAGAAGTAGCTTCAGACCTGGAAGATACAGACATGGGAACTCGCTCAGGTGACAGTGGGGTAGAGAGGGAGAGAAGGTGGGGGGGTCTGGGAGACAGGGAAGTGGCAGGACAGAACCCTTCTTGGCAGAGGGTGATCTTTAAAGCCCTCCAGTCCCTCCCATTGTCTTCTGTTCACAGTAGCCCAACGAGGTGTGTTAGAAATGAAAACACACAGGTGGTGAGGAGCCTCTGTGCGCTGATCCCTGGGGAGTTTGCTTGACTTGCAGATTCCTGGGCCCCCAGACCCACTGAATGTTGGCCTGGTGGATGAGGCCTGGGGATCTGCATTTTAAATGCCTCCACCTCCTAAAGGGCTTCCCAGGTGGCTCAATGGTAAAGAATCAGCCTGTGATGTGGGAGAACTGGGTTTGATCACAGGGTCAGGAAGATC